GTCTAAAACATCATCTTGACACACATTTTTTTTTTTATGGGAAATGGTTCTTGTTCTGCATTCACAATCCCCTCTGTGTCCTGTCTTGCTTTATGGCCTAATGGAAAGAAAATGGCTGCGGGAGTGTGCAGGGGCCATTCCGAAGGGGGAAAGGGAACATGTTTATTACCTGTACTTTACCTGCCTATTCCATTAGCTCTGCCTAACAGCTCTATGAGTAGGTTTTCCTGTTTCGCAAAGGACGAAATTGAGATGCAGGAAAATTAGGTGGCCTGTCCAGAGTCGTACAGCTACGAAGTGGTGGGAGGAAGCTTGAAATTCCAAAGGAAAGCCTTTTTACACCACGTGCCCTGCCCACGTCATGCAGAGCCAGAATCCCAGTGGAGGTGGGGACTGGAGGGTGGTTGGGCGGTGATGTGGTGGGCGTTGGTGAGGTCGATGCACATCCAGATGATTCTATCCGTAAGCCTCCGACGGAGCCTTCCGCACCATGTCGCGCTGCCTTGCGGTCATCCTTTTCCTCTTTTGATGAGCGACATTTTCTCTCCTCTCCCCGTGACTCACTTTTTCCAGGCGTGCTGTCTCCTTTCTGATCTATGACTCGCACTCTGCGCGTCACGATGACGTGCAGGCCACGCGGCTGGCTCCCTGATGTCCGCAGAGCGGTGCCATATGGGTCCCTGTCTGTGGTCCCCTCGCTCCTCCCTCCCTGGTCACGGGGAGCCACGCTCAGCCCTCCGGGAGCCATGCTGACGCTGGCGCGCCTGTCCTTGTCTTGCTTCTCAGTTCTTGCCCTTGTGGGAGGGGCTCGAGCCAGATCCGACTTTGCTCCTGCCCCCCACTCACCACGAGGGCGTCTGCCAGTAGTTTTTGTTTCACTGTGGTGAAATGGATGTGACCCAAAGTGGACCATTTTAACCATTTTACACTGAACAGTTGATGGCATTAGTATATTCAGTGTGGTGCAACCATTACCAAGATGTAGTTCCAGAGCATTCTCATCGTTCCAAAAGGAAACCCCATATCCATGAAGGAGTCACTGTCCACTTGCTACGCCCCAGCCCCTGATGGTGTCGTGAGCACTCACTACAAACCAGGCACAGTGCTCATCTCAGTATACGCAGACCTTACTAATTCTCACGAAAGCAGTTCTGTGAAAATGGGGTTCTTCCTTCCATTTCACAAATGAGGTAACTGGGGCTCAGAGAGAAAAGATTTCTGTGAGGTCGCAAAGCCTGTAAGGGGCCGAACCTAGACCAGAACCCCCAGCCAGTGTTGTTTCCTAACCCCTGCGAGATGATGGCCAAGATCTAAGAGCCTTTCCCTGTGAGAAACATAAATGATGCAGGTCTGGGTGACTCCTAAGCTCATGCTTTTTCCATTTTGAAAGAATATTCTTTCCATTCCACTCTGAAGGTCAGCGGTAACCAAAAATGCAGTTAGCACACATTCAAATCAAATGACTTATGCTCTAGGAATTTTCCAGGATCCGGGATGCTGGGTTGAAGGAAGCAGTTTGGTGGCAAGATCCCAGATAATGTGACCCAGGAAACTGTCAGTTGCCTTCACAAATCTTGGGGCGGCACGCACGGCAGGGGGATAAGAAATGAAGTGACTCCAAATGTGTCACAGGCTGAGGGGGATCTCATGAAGGGAAAGGCTCTAACTAGCACCAGATGCCTGGTTCCTGTCCACTGGTCATCTAAGATTCTGTCTTCAAGAGCTCGGGCTCCTGGTTCCCGGGACCGTGTAGGCTGACGTCCCTTGTGGTTTCAGAAAGGAAAGCAGCAATGGCAATGTCCAATTCCACAAAAGGAAAGGGGGAGCTTGTTAGACTTAACACAGAAGTTAACAATATGACATGCAATCAAGGTAATACTTCCCTGGCCTT